TGTGTGTGTGTGTGTGTGTGTGTGTGTGTGTGTGTGTGTGTGTGTGTTGCTGTTAATATGTTAATATTCTGTTTATTGGCTCCCAAAGTCCTCATCGCATCAGCTGTTAGCTCAGACTCTTGTTTCCTGTTTCTGCTGGACATTTGGCTCTGCATAGAAGCATTTTGTTTCCTAATCTCTCTTCCGTGGGAGGCACGTTTCTGGAATGCTGATATCTACGGTGGGGGGGGGTGAGAAGCACAAAGGGTTCAGATAGCCCTCTAATGAAGCTGACAGGCCTTGCGGGTTCTGATGCGTGTTTTGCTTTCTCGCTGCTGCCGCCGTTCTCACGCTCGTGTTTGTTTCCATAGAAACACGGGTACAGGTCCAAGAGTCGGTGCGAGGCAAAGATGTCTTCGTGATCCAGACGGTGTCCAAGTAAGAGGACGCACCCACAGTTTGTTTTGTCCCGCCTGAAACATGTCCTCCTCACACCACTGTCTCCCCCACTCTCCGTCTTCAACCCCTCAGGGACGTGAACACCACCATCATGGAGATGCTGATCCTGGTGTATGCGTGCAGGACGTCCTGCGCCAGGAGCATCACGGGCGTCCTCCCCTACTTCCCCTACAGCAAGCAGTGCAAGATGAGGAAGAGGGGCTCCATCGTCTCCAAGCTCATCGCCTCCATGATGTGTAAAGCTGGTAGGTAGGGGGGGGGGGGTTGCCTTCACAGCACAAAACAGGGGGGGGTGGGAAGTGCGTCCATCTTTGCACATGTTGTAAAAACGCGAGCATGAACGCCATCAAACTGGCTGTTTTGTGTAGGTCTCACCCACCTGATCACCATGGACCTCCATCAGAAAGAGATCCAAGGCTTCTTCAACATCCCAGTGGACAATCTGAGGGCCTCCCCCTTCCTGCTGCAGTACATACAGGAAGAGGTAAACACGCAGGCTACATGCACGACACGAGTCTCATACTGAAGGACCCCCATATTAGTTTGCTTCCTGGGCGGTGTATAAGAAGTGGTCGTGGTCACGGTGGTGGCACTCACTATGGTTTTGAAGCCTCGAGTCTGGCATTTGGCCGTCACATTCTTTCTTTTTTTGTTTTACAACCGGAAGTGATACAAGAGGGTGGAGCATAGCACAACCGAGTGCTGAAGATGACATTTTTAAATTCTATTTGAACCATCATTTACTAAATGATCATGCCGTATTGAAGAAGACTTGAAACTAGAGATTGAGACCATAAACTCATGTTTACAATGTTTACTGAGGGAATAAATCAAGAGAGAAGTAGAGTCATTTTCTCATAGACTTCTATACAACCAGACTTCTCTTTGCCCCCTGATGGACATTAGAGAGGATGCTAATTTAAGGCACTTCTGCACAGTCTTCCCTCTTTAGAACCAGAGGTTTGTTTACCTCTAACCCCGCAATAGTCAAGAGGCCGATAATGGTGTCAAACTACAGGTCAAACCCTCTGCAACACAGTGTGCTGCAGGAATGAGTCAGCACCTTTTTCACTTCTGGTTCCCTCGTCTCAGAGTCAATGTTTTTTTTTTTATGCCTGAAATAAAGCCTGTGGTTAACACAAGCTCATGAGATTCAACCTTTTGTTATATAATACATCAGTAAATACCTCTCGTGAATTTTGAAGCCTTTATGTGTCTTTTAAAAAGGTGGCAAACTGAGACTACACAATGTGATCAGGCTTCACTCTTTGTTGTGATTACTCGCGCTTATGCAACTATGTCGTGTGTTTACAGCCCAATGTTAGCTTTTTACTTCTGACGATTGTAGTCACGCTTCAAAAATCATAAGGTGTTCATTCCTGAACATTATCTTTGCTGAGCAAAAAAAATTAGCTTTCTGTCGAGGGAACCAGTGCGATGCTAACTTCCTGTCGTGCCTACAAAACTCCATCCTCCTAAAGGGAACGGTGGCAGACTGGCCATCGAAAATTCTTTTTAACAACCGGTCCTTGATTTCAGTTATAGGAGCCAAAAAGCAGGCTTCCCGTCTCTTGGCAGGGGATCAGCATCCTCACCAGTAAATGATCCATGTAGGAAATGAAGAACCCGACGCTAAAAGAGAGCTGTCTATTATATGCTAATCTGATATTAAACGTCTCTTATTTTCCATGTGCCTCCAGATCCCCGACTATAGAAATGCTGTGATTGTGGCCAAATCCCCAGCCTCCGCCAAAAGGTACAGTCGGCCCACCTCAGTTATGAACTCTCATATCCTTCAACTGTGCTGAGCTGCAGATCTGTAACTCGTTATATAACGTCAGTAACTAATAAGTTATTCATAAACCTTTTGTTCCCTGAGGAAGTTAAGGTCCATTGCATTTATGTAGCATTATTTTTGATACAACCACTAGGTACGGCAAAGTCCGAAATGTTCACATTTGCGACTATAACAAAAGTTCTGCTTTTATATTTACGTATATTTCTTGTTTTTTGTAACTGTTCTGACCCGTCCTCTCGTCCGGGTGCTTCAGGGCTCAGTCGTTTGCCGAGCGGCTGCGTCTGGGCTTAGCGGTGATCCACGGCGAAGCTCAGGACCCCGAGTCGGACCAGGTGGACGGGCGGCACTCCCCACCCGCCGTCAGGACCAGTGGAGCCATTCACCCCAGCATGGAGATCCCACGTAACGCTCACACCAACGCGCTCACAGCCACAGACCCTGTAACCGCCATGTAACAGAATAGGTTGTAGGTAAATTCGCTTCCTTTTTTTTTTTTTTTTTTGGGTTCGTTTCCAGTGTTGATCCCCAAAGAGAAGCCTCCCATCACCGTGGTAGGAGACGTAGGAGGACGCATCGCCATCATAGTGGTGAGAGCACGCAGTTTGAACGTGGCTTTTTATTTTGACGTGCGTTTGGGACGCAAGACTCGCTGGAGGGAGTCGCTATGAACTGTGGGAAAGAAAAGAGGAGCCAGACGCAGAAGAGGCAGAGCGTTCTGTAAAAGATGGAGGGATCCAGTCTCAGAAGAAGAGAGTATTCTCTTACAGTATTGAGTATTATTACATTACGCAAGATTTTATCCTGCAGGGCTGCACTGAAATAATATTTACGATTTTCTTAATTAATATTGAGATCACGATTATTCATAGATTGTTTTATTATTTATTTTAATTTATATTCTTCTTCACCTGAATGCGGTGCATTTTGGCTTCAGCCCTTAAAATATACAGTAATTACTCTTCTACTCTGGACTGCAGATGCAACATTCAGGAATTAAAAAAAACAAAATGTAAAGGCTGTTGCTGCAGGGAGAAGGTTCAGCAGCTCCACAGCAGTGAAGCCAGAACATCTGGATCGCCCCCTTGTGGCGGCTGTTAGTTTTAGGAAGCGCTTGATTTAATATGCACGAGTTGTTTTTTTTTACAAGCGGAGCCTTTTAAAAGTCAATATCGCTTTTGTCGATGTTCAGTTTGTTTTAATGACATTTAAAATTGTCTGAGGATGTTTTAGAGAACTTGAGTTTGTATTCGTAAAAAGTGAATGTTTCTCACTAGAGGGTGCGTTGGTACTTTCACATGCTGCAAAATGGATGAGCTTGTTTGAGACAGGCCCGTTTGCCCCACAGGATGACATCATCGACGACGTCGACAGTTTCGTGGCGGCGGCGGAGACGCTGAAGGAAAGGGGGGCCTACAAGATCTACGTCATGGCAACGCACGGCATCCTCTCCCTGGACGCTCCGAGGTTCATCGAGGAGTCGGCCATCGACGAGGTGAGCGCGCCCTCTAATACTCTACTTGTACTGCACGACCTTCCTCCCCTTCACATATCTCTCATCACCATCGTCTTCCTCCAGGTGGTGGTGACCAACACGATTCCTCACGAGCTCCAGAAGCTCAAGTGTCCAAAGATCAAGACCGTCGACATCAGCATGATCCTGTCGGAGGCCATCCGCCGCATCCACAACGGAGAGTCCATGTCCTACCTGTTCCGCAACATCGGAGTGGACGACTGAACAACCTGCCTCTCTCTCTCCCTCTCTCTCTCTCACACACACACACACACACACACACACTATTTGCCTTGTCAGGTCTCTTCAGACATAGAGGTGAATGTCAAACACTGAAATTGCTACACACATTAATAAATATCCACGTCCTGCTCGTATCATAAACTTAAATGTAAACTACTTTTCCTCTGAGTGCAGCTTAAAAGGGTAGTTTGGATTTTTTGAAGTGGGGTTGTATGAGATACATATTCAGTGTATTATTTACAGTAGATGATAGTCAGCATGCCTCCATTTTGGAGAAACAGACAGGATTAGAAGAGCAAGGTGGAGCAGCAAGACGGAGTTTAGGGTTAGATATAAAAAAGTGTATATATCAGTTTAAGTGTACGCTATATTTAGAATACATTCGCTTTACTTTACTGTCGGACAGCTCTTTCTGACGAGGAACTGAAGCTGTTACCTACGCTCTCTTTAAAGCCACCAGACTCCTTTTCACAAAACCAGTGATTTTACCTCACAGAACACGACGGTTGCTGGTTCACCGCTGCCTCGATCTGTTTGTTAATGTTGATGTGTGACTTTGGCGAATCCGAACCAACCCTTAAACGGCAAAGTCACACAATAACGCAAACGATGGAGGCAGCCGTGGTAAACTGTTAACTCTGGTGTTCTGCGAGGAAAAATTACTGTTTTTGTCAAAGGAGTCTCGTGGCTTTGACGACAGCATAGATAACGGCTTCGTCAGAAAGGGCCGTCTGACGGCAAGATAAAGATACACTGACTGTGGATAAGCACCTCATACAACCCCACTTAAAAAAAAATCTGAATTCTACCTTTAATTAACACATAAGATGACTGAAGACACACATGGGAACACGGACCTCCACGGGTTAGTCTCGTTCCATAGCTGTGCCCAAACACACACACACACACACACACACACACACACACAGATCTGTGCCCTTGATGGACTACTGCCTGTCTCTCCCTCTGCTGCCCTCATGTCAAACAGCACACACCTTGTTTTTTTACTCATCTCCATTTCTCTCTATAGAAATTAATGTTAATATAAGAACATGATATTTGTTAACATTGGACCCACCCCACCCCACCCCTTGCAGTAAAATCTCCTTCACAGCATCAGAAAGAGTGGCAGTGCCTTCTGCAGGACCTACACACACAGGCCTTCACTACTCACACACCACTCGGCTAACAGAGCTAATGAATAGAGGCCCCTTGTATTGAATCCAGGGATGTGCAGGTTCCCAGCTAATTACCTTGTGTAGAGTATCTGAGTGCATGTTTAACCCCATTCTGTTTTATTTATGTGGTGTGTGACTAGGCTACTAATGTCGTTCATTTAGACTCTTAACTAGCTGGCTGCGGTTGCCATAGCGCTGAGATGCTAATCTGGTGTCAAATCTACTCGTTGCTAAAGTTGAACTGGAATTAACACAGGAAGCACGTCTCGGTCTGGTCCGTTCCAAACTTTTTTTACGGTGTTTCATGAGTCCTCCATGTAACATTGTGTGCCATCATGTCAATGCCTGCTCATGTTTTATATTTGTTCACAAATGAGCTGTCGCCCCTCTAGCTGGAGGGCCCCGGGCAGTGTTACACTCCGATTAGAAGTGGAAGGTTGTTCTTAATTCTGAGTTAAGATCATCACAACAGAGACTGAAGTTTGCTGAAACACACCAGCAGCTAAAACTGGGAGAGTAAATCTAAACTTTTTTTGTTTGTTTTTTCTGATGAGCAAAACTTGACTGAAGCAGGTTTTTGTCACTTTACCAGATGTTACAAAAAAAAAATAAAATGTTTTGTATTTATTTTCAACACTTCTTATGAATAAATAATGACTTATGAAAGTAGAGACCGACTCGTTTTGTAGTTTCATAAATCGGGTGTGTGTGATTTCTGGATAACACACGCTCTTGTTTCAGCAGGCGCACCGGTTAGCATGTTAGCCTGCTTAACAAAATCAAGTACAGCTGAAGCTAATTGGGGGGGACATTAGTGTTACAGGTTCAATACCAAATGAAAAGTCATTGAAATACATAAGTGTATAAAACAAATAATTTTATTGTTAAATGTTAAACTGGTGGATCGCAACTTTTACAAAACGGTTGGTGCAGTTGTCACATTTCAGATGTGAGTTGTTAGCAGTTCTACCAAAGTACGAGTTCCTCTAAAATGTAAAAAAAGAATTTCACAAGGCCCAAAGAGGTCAAATTAACCAGTATTTTGCACAAAAAAAAGCAAAGATTAGAGACAACTTAAAAAAAAATTAATAAATAAGTACAAATGTGTATCCAAAGTTTGTTTGTTTTCTTTTCATACCCTATAAATCATTTCACAACTTAACAATAATATAATATTAAATAGTTAAATCTAATAGTCGGATATCATAATGTATCACGCACGGAATGAGGAGTGTGTACGATTTATTTTGCACTCACCTCTCCCTTTTCCAAATGTCTGAGAACTACGGTGGCCTTCAGGTGACAAAAAAAATAAAGTGAAAGGCTCTCTCTAGAGCCAGTGGTTTGTCCGTTCTGGGCTCCTGTAGAAACATGGCGGACTCGTGAAGAGGACCTGCATCCTACGCAGATATCATTCCAAGCTAACGAAACTCCCACAATTCACAAAAATTTCAAGTGATGCCACACTAACAAAAACAGAGCTATGAATATTATGAATCCATTTCTGCCAATAAATCCTCTAAATCCTACGCACTGGCCCTTTAAGTACATTTAGCTGCGGATGTCTCTACTTTTACTGAAGTAGGATCTGGAATGCAGGACCTTCACTTGTAATGGAGTATTTTTAGATGAATGTATGGTCAGATACAGTGGTGGAAGAAGTATTCACATCCTCTACTTAAGTCAAAGTTGAAATACCAGTTAAAAAAAATACTGCATTGCTAGTAAAAGTCCTGAATAATGACACTTACAGTAATTGTATTGGCAAAATGTACTTAAAGAATGAGAAGTAAAAGTACTCATTATGCAGAACAGCTCCTTACAAAGTGTATTATTATAGAATATATTTGTTTTTTCTCACTAACGGATACATGAAATAGTATTTTAATGTTGTAGTTGTAGCCAATGTTAGAAATGTTTTAACTGCTACTGGGTAGATTAGTAGTATAGTACTGCACTTGTTTTTTTTTTTTTTTTAAATGTAAAAAGTAACGAGTACTTATAAGTGTCAAATAAATGTAAAAAGTACAATATCTACTTCCAAAATAGTTTAGTGAAAGTATAAAATACTGTAGCATAAAATAAAATAAAATTCCATAAAATGGAATACAAAGTATAGTATAAGTATGTCAAAAGCGTACTTACCGTAAGTACTTGGTTACATTCCACTACTGGTTAGATTCCTCTTCCGCTCTAAATATCGGGACAGTTCAGTTAGATTAATAAACACACACACATGCAAAGTAAGAGCAGAACGTTGCTGATTTAAACCAACTTGTTTCTTGTTTATTGTATTTAATGCTGACAGACAGGTATTGTTTCGGACACACATGGCGGCATCATGGAGAAGGAAATCTTGTTTTCGGACCCGAGACCCACTCAAGAGGTTAGAGTCGCGCGGCGTCAGATTGCCCCGCCCACGCCGACCGCGCTCATTCGTCGAACAAACCTCTCTAATGTCGTCAATGTATTTGAAGTTAAGCTGAAAAGTTTCGGGGTGCTGGAGTGCAACGGAACTAAAGCGGATGGAAAATTCACACAAAAACGAGCTTGTAGTGCTTTTGTTTTGCATTTTTAAACCTTTTTTCCCCTCCCCAGTTTCTTAAACATCCCGCCAGCACAAGCTTACACTACGAACAGGTGAAGTGTTTAAAGACTGTTTGCTGATGGTTACGGGACCGAACGTGCCAGTTGTCGAGGTCAAACTTAGAAGTGCGAGAAAAGTACAACGGTCCGTTGGCATTTTGGCGTTACTTGCCAAAATGCACTGAGGTCTGACAAGCATCGAGCTTTGGTCAGGGGTAGGCGTGCGCTCCCCACTCTCAACTCCTTAACCCTTAAGCAAGGCACTAAACCCTCTCACCTCCGCGCAGAGCTGCTCGGAGGCCACCGGTGGGGAAACGTGTAGCAGTGGAAAGAAAGAACGTGGAGGAAGGCGTGGATCTGTAACGATATTTAAATGCTGTGGTGCTACAATCGGTCTGTCCAACATGGCGGTTAGTCTTTTACCGTGCTCACTGGCAAACGCTCTTTAAACACTTTTTTTGTTGTTGTTTTCAACACGGGGCACGAGTGACGGACGGACGTGGTGGGTAACCACTGTGACAGTCTGCTACAGCTAGCGCAGGTCGGAAAGGCTTCGTGAAGGCAAAAGCAGCACGTTAACTAATGAGAACGAGTCATAACAAGGCAAGGTGAGGGCTTCCTGTGTTCAGATTTTTCAAAATAAAGTGATCTGACTTGGTGATAAAACAGCAACTGCACAGCTCACATTTGGTTGGACATAAGAGATGAGACTGTAATAAAAAATACTTCAGAAGTGAAAAATACCCAAAGTGAGTTGCTTATGGCTGATTTTGATTCCTCTAAAAAAAAAAAATTTAAAAAAAAATGCTCTCGAAGCCCCTTTGCTTCCCGTCCCACAGGACTACATTGTAAATATACTGCATGTGTTGGACTAATACTTGGTGTTTTAAAGGAAAACATCAACCTTTGTACTACTCGCTCCCCCTTGTCTAACTCAAACATACTTGTATCATGATATCAGTACATCATTCAGACTGTTGTGGGTGTTTTATGAGTCCAGGTCCTAAAACCAGGAAATGAGTCAGCGTTTTTGCACTTCCTGGTTCCCTGTCTCTAAATCAGTGTTTTAAAAAAAAAAATGGTGTTTGTTGTTTTGTGGCAAACACAAATTGAAGAGATTATAACGTTTTCTTCTAAGATGTAAAATACGTCAGTAAACCACTATTTTGTGAATTCTGAGGCTTTTACGTGTTAAAAAATTTGGTTGCCGACAAGTGACTAAATAAGACGTGTAGTTCGTTTATAGCCTAGCGTTAGCTTATCTCTTCTGCCGATTGCATTCACGCTTCAAAAACCATAAAAGTGGTGTTGATTTGTGAAGATTATCTTGCTGAACAGACTGTGCAAGATCATAAACATGTTTTCTGCAATATCCAAAATGTAACGAAAGATTCCCATTGGCTGTCTGTGGAGGGAACCAGTGCGATGCTAACTTCCTGGTTGGACTACAAAAAATGCATCATCCCAACAGGACTCACAACACAACTTTACAAACAGAAAAATGACCTTTGTCAGTTGGTTGACGTTTCTCATGTTCCTGTTTGCAACTAAATAATTCCCCAACAGGTCATCAGTCGAGCACTACACGAGCTTATTTGCTCCCACGTGTCACTGAAAATCTAACACTGATTATTTCCTGGAGGTCAGAGGTGAACGTCGGGAGCTGGTACAGATTCAGACGCTAGTAAACAGGGACCGGTAACTGGTAAGCACAAAACAAGTCTTCAGAGCAAATACCTCACTTCAAAAGGCATGTCTGTACAACACAAAACTGTCAGTGTGACGGGCTTCTGTGAACAACCATTAACAATTTGGAAGTGCAACATTAGTATTGAATTTTTTTTCGTGACGAACAGTAAAACTTTCACAAATGTGTGGGGGGATATTTGTGAACATTTTTCTGTGTTTTCAGGATGACAAACAAACAAAATATTTCTTTTAATATTTTATAATATCAGCAAGACTACAGAGTCTACAGCCACACTATTGGCTCTATCGAGGCGGTGCTTTGAGGCTCAACGCTAATGTCAACGTGCTAACATGCTCACAGTAACAATGTTAACATGCCGATGTTTAGCAGGTGTAACATTTACCTTGGTTTAGTGTGTGTTAGCATGCTAACGTTTGCTAATCTGCACTAAATACAATGTTGATAGGAATGTTTTGCTTGTAAACCAAAGTACTTGACAAATTGAAAGTTTGACCAGAAGATGGTGCCAGAGGAAAATAATTCATCCTAACTTCATTCTCTAGAAACCATGAAAAACAATTTGGTTTGCATTCATTATTGACGAGAACCTAAATAGCCTAATCGTTATCGGATTCAGTGTTTTCAATCAATGCAACCTAATCAGAGCTTGCCAGCAAGCTGTATTATCTCGATGAAGACGTACACAAACTCATAATAATCACCACGGTGAACGAGCAGCAAAATGCGCCATTTGTCCGTTTAAAACACTGTCTTACCATTTTGCCATCCACATGCAAATATGAGCCTCATATTTGGAATAGCAAAAAAGTCATCACCAACTACTGGCTAGTAGTCAAATTAGAAAAGTTAAATATATAATCACATTGGATAAACAGAGACTTAATAAATGTCTTAATTTGCTATTTCCACAGACAAATTAAGACAATTCAGCATTAGCTAATTTGAAAACCCATCTCTGCTGGAATACATTTTGCGACCCAAAGAAAAGAAATTGACAAGCAATACCGTTCCTCTGTGTCTTCGACTTTTTGCAACTTATTTGATTTGTTTGGGGAAAAAAAAAAAAAAATCAATAAACAAATTGTTATGCAGCTGAACCTGAACCTCCAGTGGTCCTTGGGTTCCGGAAAGAATGGTCTGACCTTTAGCGACCACAGCAACACATATTTGGACTATGTCAGGCATATATCACTAAGTTAATTCATAATACTGGCACTGGGACCCTCTACTCTTTGCGTAATATAAGAGATGTGGAGTGTGTTTACATGCACACAGGTTTCTGAAAAACACTGAAGATCTAGTTCAACAAACATTTCTTGGAGGCGAAACCATCATAAGTTTGCATAACAAGGCTTAATAAGCTGATTAGAAAAGACCGATACTGATCAAAACATCAATAAAAAATACAAATGGCAACGACGTAGTAGGCTACATCAGCATATATGGAAAGTTACAGGATTTAAGAAATCAGAAAGACTGAGTAGCTAACTTAGATAACTAGCGCTTACAGCCTGACTGATACTGGCTGATATGGAAGCAAAGAAAGCACATAATTATTATGAATTTCATAAGCAGCTGAAAAGATCGTTTTGAAATCTAAATACCACTGAATGTGTAGCACTGAAATATTATATAAAAATATAAAACCATCTGTCTGGCCTGCATCAAATATTCTCAAAACTCAAATAAAATTTAGTTTAAAAAAAATCTTGTTATATAAAGTTGGTTACATCCAGATGAAAAATCAGTGGAGCCTAAATGAATCCATCAGACCTCTGGCCTATCAGGTTACATCCTGTCAATCACATGATCCCAGACAGGAACGTTCAGATAAGGACGGGAAACACTGGGATTGTTTTGGGAATTCGTAAACCCAAACTCTTTCTTTGTTTTTTTTTTTTTTAATAATTGTAATACTTGGAGAGAATTGAGACCACATGGAGTCAGACAGATGGATTTTTAAGTAAAACAAGAAACTGCTATAAATTCAGTAGTATTTAAATTTCAATTGCTTTAAAAAATAAAATTGAATCATTATGGCCTTTCTTTGCTTCCGTAATAGCCAATATTATTGGTTCATTTGAACTGAAGACAAGATGGTTCAGAAAGGCCAAAAATATGTTTGAGGTCATTTGGAAACAGAGTTACTGTTAAATAGTTTGTCCATAAGTGAGCACGAACTTCTACTGTTAAATGTTCAGTACATGTCTTACATATTCGTCAATAAGCAAATTTAAGCATCCTTGTTTGTTTAGTTATATATGTATAAAATACTGTCTGATCTATTGTGAACAGATTTTTTTTAACTCTCTAATATCCTCTCAAAGTCCGGTATCGCTCGGAAGGTTTTGGCACTCTGGCTACACCCACTCGTGTTTACCTCAACTGAAGAGATTATTTGTAGAGCAGTTTCGCCTCCAGGAAATGTTTCAACAACGGATAAAGTGCACCTCAGGAGATCCTGCTGTTCATAGCCGCCGTGAACTGAATATTCAGTTTCTCATGAAGCTATGAGGTGAGTGCAACTGGAAGCTGTACGCAAAACAGCCTCACAACACCAATATATTCAAAATAGCATATTCGTGAACAGAATATTGGTGTGCATGTAAACCCACAGATACTGTAGTAAACACCATTAGAAGCTCTAGAAGCACACGTTGGACTATTCACACCCTGTTTGCCATCGATGTTGATAGAAAAAGAGATGAATCGGACTGAACCGTTTCCTCGTCGTTTTGGCTCATCGCACCGCCGTACTCTCGTTTTCTTCATTGCTTTAAGCCATTTTAAACACTTTTAAATACATGTATAGAATATATACAAACACTTTTGCCACCACATGTCAGACCTGAAGAGCACGCCTCTACCGGATTCCTTTCCACGGCGTGCAGAGCTAGAAAAGAGAAGGCCAGGGCGGGCAGTTTTTGTCACTAATCAGAGATTTGTCGGCCATCTTTTTTTGTAGTTTTTATTACTTAACTATCAGCAGGTGGTGGCTATTTCCTTTCAAAGTTGTTGTTGTTGCGTGTTACTGCCGAGGCTCCACTTCAGAGTCTGTCTTTTAAAAGTGGCCATTTCTCCGTGTTCGTTTTTTGGACTGGTGTGATCAATGCCACGCGACAGAAAACACGTTTGTCCTCCTCGTGAGAATCCAGTCCGGTCCCCCACAAAAAACATGAAAAGGGAACGGTTTCGGCAACCGTTCAGTTGCCGAAACCGAACTAGATCTTCAGTAGCACAGCAACAATGACCTCTGTCCGTTCTTGTTGCGTTGCGTTCTGCGCGTGTGCCCCGTGTCACTATAAAAGCACTTTGTGACGAGCCTGTTCAATAAAAGCGCTTTTGTAAAATGAATTTTGAATCCGGTGGTTTTACTTGAAGAGAGGAGAAGCGGATTGTCCAATACGTTGAATGTGGTTTCCCGCGTTGATTGCCGAGCCGGGGGTTGCCGGGGAAGACACACGAGGAGGATTCTGGGTATCACAGAGGGAGCGTTCAGGGATTGGCTGACGGGAGCGCTGAGCCGCCGGCAGATGTCAGATGAGAGGTTGCTTCTTCCCTCCTCGTCCTCTCTTTTACAAGCGTCATCCCTGTTAGTCCCCCACCCCACCCCCACACACCACCCCGCTACCTGTCCGTGCAGCAAATGGTTGATTGGAATAATATGACAGCCCGGGTCAGAATGAAGGCAGAGCTCCTCCTCTTCCGGTCACAGACGGGAGGGAGGACGTAGCAGCAGTCTAGGAGGGGCTGGGGGTCTTCAGGGCATCCACTTTGGTCTCCAAGTTGCTGATCTGTGAAAAACAACAACACAGTGGAGGACAAGGCTCTGATCAGACAGAGGTGATGCTGCTGCTGCTTCTTCTTCTTCTTTTATTATTGCTGCTGGCCAATCACCGAATGAGTGCTAACGTTAGCTTAAAACAAAACTACGAACCCAAAAATGTAACGCCTTCGCCCAAAGCTGTCACCGGTGTGGAGGCATAAAAACACCAACGATGGTGGCTGCTTCTCCGCTTGGAGTTGAATTTAACAATCAATAGCATTGACTGTAGGGATAGACTCTTTGGTTACTTTAATAAAAGCTGGATAAGCGATGCAACCGAATCAATAAAAAGGAGTGGATTGGGGCCTTATACTTGTAGAAATGGAAATATAAACAGTGTTTTCTGAGGGAGGAGCTGACACAGGTGACTCTTTTTCAAACCTTTTCCTGCAAGTTGTCCGCCTCCTCTTTGTGTGTTGCCTCGGTCTCTTCTTGTGCCCGACGCTGAGCCGTCTCCTTCTTCAGGTACTCGATCTCCCTAAAACACACACACACACACACACACACACACACACACATTAAAGCTTTGGGTTCTTTTACTCCTCCTCTCAAACCTTGAATGCATCTCTGCTTCCTTACTTCTGCTGGTACTCTTTAATCAGTCTCTTGGCTTTGCTGTATTTCCTCTCTAGGGTTTGGTACTGAGCCTGCGTTTCCTTCAGGTGTTCGTCCACCGCCTGAAGACACAAAACCACACACACAGTCAGTAAGTAAATATTAATAAAAACGTTTTTGAATATATAAATTATAACACATTAGTCATTTGAGCTGTCAAACCTTGTGCATCCCTTTAAAATAAGTTCATCTGGTGCCTTGCGAGGACAGAAATGTGTCAAAAAACTGCCATAAAAATAAATCTTAATATTATTTTAAATTTTCACAAAATCTTTTAACCAACCTCAATCCTGATCATAACTACCAAATACTCATTTATCTTTTAGAATTTTAACCCTTTAATTGCAAGTTTGTTTGCATAATACCACTGTTGTGTTTTATGAAAAAAACAAAAAAACAACACAGAAATTGAATTATTTCCGTGTACTAAATGCTGTGTGTGTGTCAATTATTTTCTGTATAGCTATGCTAGGAGGAATTTTTATTTCTATTTTTTTCACAGTCTGGGATATGACAATGATAAGCAGCAACATACATCAAACACAGCAGTGCTCCATAATACCTCCAATATAAAACCAGAAAAACAGCATGTATATGTCACATAGGGCAAACATGAAAAATGGCTCAATCTGGTGGAAAATAGTGAAAACTATAATTTAGAAGGCATGGGTTTAGATTGAAAGCCTGATATAATAGAATGCACGGTTTTATCAACGATTTCTACCGTCTGTTTTTTTGTCTACACAGGTTATTTATTTATTTATTAGAGGAGCTGTAGTTCAACTTTCAAAATTATATATATATATAAAAAAAAAGAAGCCAAAAAAAAGCATGTTCTAAAATATCCCAAGTGATGCACGAGGCTTAAATGAAAACATATATTTCATCCGTTCATGACTGATGGCTTCCTCCTTGCTTCTCATGTTCGTTCTCTCTTGAATTACCTTACACAGCGACTGTGCCTCCATCCAGTAGCCCTCCAGTTTCTCCATCCTCTCTTTACTGTCCCGGATGTTTTGCTCCAACTGAGCGCGCTCCATCCGCCAACGCAACTTATCCTGCTCCGAATGAGCCAGCTGGAGGTAAAGGTGGTGGGAATGTGGGAGGAGGAGGTGGTGCGTGGGTTAAGTCAGTTAAGGTACTGGTGTTGTTATGCTAGATATGCTGGATGTTGAACTGCATTTCATTTCTGCATGCTGAGAAGAGACTGAAAATTCTCACCTTCCTCTTCAGCAGCTGGATCTCCGCCTGGGTTACTGCATGTTTGATCTGGAGCTAGAGACAGAGAGTAAAAACAAACTCAAAAGCAAATTGGAGAACAGATAAACTATGAGTGAAATGAAGCAATTTCAAATTCAGCATCCAAACGATCAAAGTCACGCGTACCTCCTTGAATTTGTGGGCTAGCTTCTCGGGGTCCAGCTCCACAGGAGACAGCGTGTCCTGGTTCTCGGCCAGGTCGAAAACCTCAATGGAGTTCGGAAACACCGGACTCATCTCCTCCTCCTCGTCCGTCGCGTATTCACCCGTCTGCAGGTCGCCAGAAAAGAGATGGGGAAAGATGAAAAGAAAAACAATATGTTCGTCAATGCGCTCACTTGTTTTGTTGCCAAAAGTTGGACGAGAAGATTGATACCACCCGGCTAATATGAAGCTAACGCTATCAGCTGGTTAGCTAAGCTTAAAAAAAAAAAAATGTATAAATAGGAAATGTAAATGGGAAGTTTTATACGGGGTTAAAGCTGCTTAATGAGCTTTAGAGGTGCTGGTAGGCACTTTTAGTTACCTTTGGAAAGAGCCAGGCTAGCAGTTCTGCTATGTTTCCAGTCTTTTATGCTAAGCTAAGCTGCTGGCGTTAGCTTAAAATTTACTGTACAGACACGAAAGCAATGTTGAGAAAGCTAACAAGCGTTTCCCAAAATGTAACAAAACTATTTCTTTAAAATGTTACCTGCAGATCACAGTGAACCCAAACAGTCCAAACTCCCACTTCCATTCCTTTCGCTCCTCATAAGTTTCTGTATAATTTCATTTGGAGGAGTATGTGTCATAAAAATAGGGTATAGATAGCAACTGGAGCCTTTTTAAATTACAAATTAAGTGAGAGAATGAATTCCCTTCTCATGTATGTCTTCCACTAAAGAGTTCCACATCGTCTTCTTCTCCTCCTCCTCTGCATTGCAAAGTAAATTCGCTTCACAATCAATGTTTTGACGTAGTGACCTCACTGCATCTCCAGCTCTGGTTCCACTTCTCTATTCTGACACAAAGACGAGCTGACTGACTTTTTATCACGAGGCCTCGAACCGGAGCGCGTTGCCGCTGTCTACATTGATGTCCTCTCTCTGTGGCTGTCGAGTCAGATTTGCGGTAATTTCTACCTCGCCGCATTACGGTCTGGCATCAAGTGTGCGGTTCTAGCGAGACATCGCTTTCATTTTAATTCAGTGTGTTTATCAAAAGCTTGATGAAAAGAAAGTAGAATCAGGCCCAACATGTGCAGTAAGTGTGTAACCGTAGAATATGAACTCCTCTTTTTAAGTCATTATAAACCGCTACATTTCGTGACGTTGACAGCATCAGTTAAGCCCCCGGTGATGAGCGATGGCGGGAAATTTTCAATTATGAGTTTGATCGCACTGGACAACCTATTTCCCCGTCTAGTCACGCTGTAATTACAAGGACAGTTTACATTCAGCCGCATTCGACCCCGGAGTTACAGATGAATGTGACTGGTGTAATTAAACACATTGGGTTCATTGTGATTTGTTCTTGTTGTCCCACTGAAGTGTCCACACCTCTCTGACCACAAGGTGGAGAAGCTGGACAGAGTTTGAAAAGTGCCGGCCACGTGGTGGCACACAGACCGACATTTTGACACACACACACACACACACACACACACACACACACACAGACACACATACACACACACACACACACACACCTCCCCTCTTCACCTCGCTCTTGATTGCCTGCAGCTAACGAAGCAGCGTTAGCCGCAGATGTTCCGAGTTAATGAACGCGGCTCCACAAATGTACTCGCTCAGTCTGAGCGTGTTACCTCCTCGTCGTCGTCCATGTACTGTTTGTATCTCTGCTCCATCATCTCCCGCTGCCACTTCTCTTGCTCCAGAGTCTGCTGGATAAGCTGAGCCACCTCGCTCTGCTCGCCCGGCTTCTCCCGACCAATCATGAACCTGGGAGAAAAACAAAAGAAAAAAGAATCAAAATCCCACACAGCAATTGCAAAAGCCGAAAACGTTATTTCACCTGCGCAAACCACGCACAAATGCATAGAACATAAAATGGAACAAAAAAAAAAATCACATCATTCCAACTGCAAAAAAACATCCAGCACAAACCTGAGAATTTTAGCACGTACCAACCAAAGCACCTAGAAAATATACAATTTATATCACAAATCTGCAAAATCCCCCAAAATAAACAGCAAAACAAGAATCAGCACCCGCTGTAAACAAAGTGTGTGTGTGTGTGTGTGTGTGTGTGTGTGCAGGACAGACAGAGACAGAGAGTGTGTGTCAGACCTGACGGTGCCGGTGGTGTTGCGGAGGACGGAGGCCGCGAGGCTCTGAGTGACGCCGACCAGGCTGGTCCCATCAACCTCCACTATGAGGTCGTTCACCTCGATCCTGCACACACGGACACAAGGAAGCACATATGTGTGTGTGTGTGTGGAGGCTCATCATCTTTTGGTAGATTGGTAGAGAGTGCACTTGAGGCGAAATACTTAGTTTTCTTTTTTTAAATTTCAAATCTCCACCACGGATGTAGAAACAAGAAAAAACATAGTAGAAGAAGAATGGAAACCTGTTGATGCTACGGCAGTGTCAATTCATGTATGTGTGCATGATGCAAATATGGGTAGTGCTTTTAATATTATTACTAGTATTCAGTGGGTTTTTATTTTCCATTTTATGTTATGCATTCCATATATTCGATTTCATATCATTTCTTATCTTATTTTTCCTGTTTTGTTCCATGTCTATTTCCTTTCAACACCTTTGTGCTGCATTTATTGTATGAAAGATGTATTATTATTATTATTATTATGCGATTGAAACATGTGGATTTAATAACTGTGGAGATTTATGAAAGCAAAATCAATATCATGGAGGTTTGTGGCTTTGACGTTACATAACTTTTTGAGTCTCTGTTATAGACATGTTTACTTCAGGCCTACATCTGGGTTTTTCTGTTCATAATGCAATCCTGTCATGTTTCATGTCATGTTTAAGAAAACAAAAATACAGCTGAACCTTGAAATCTTGAAAAATTTCGAAAAATAGTCCCCAAGAAATGCGCTATTTATGCTGTTTGAGTAACGTTCTTTTTTTCATTTGTTGACAAGGATGCATAAAGGACAGATGGGACGGGGTACCTGCCGTCTTTCTGTGCAGCTCCTCCGTCGGTGACCGTCTTCACAAAGATCCCCAGTTTCTCCAGACCCATATCAGCTCCTGCACCCATACCTATGATACTGATACCCAGACCCTCGCCGTCTGGAGACACACACACGCACACACACACACACACACACACAATGTAAATATAACCGAAACACTGACTTGTATCTTTATAGATGTAACTGCTGGCATTAGAGAGAAGATTGTTTATTCCTACATAGTGCGTCTATGATGGATCAGTATTAAACTGAGACTGTTTCACAACAGTTCAAGGTTACTCACAGTCGCTTTAACATATTCATTCTCACTCAATGCTTTAAAACTAACACATAAGTCAGGAGCTGTCACGAATGGTTGCTGGTTCCAATCCATTACCTTCAGAATTACTGCTAATTAGGCTAATCCACGCTAAGTGTAATCCCATAAGGGGATAATGGCGCTGTTAGCAGACAGTGAACGTCCACTACCAGCGCTGCTGTTGGCTGTGTGCATGTGTGTAGTTACATAAGAGGCTTGACTGGGTGACTCTCAGTGGTTGTAAAGAGGTGTGTGTGTGTGTGTGTGTGGGTACCTTTCTCCAGCTCTACAGGAAACAGGTCCAGCTTCTCCACTCGTTTCTCCAGCTCGTACTCGGCTGAGGCCGCCATGGGGTCAACGTCGTCGTTACGCCGATCGTAGTCTTCGTTGGAGTAGGTGGTGAACACCTACGGGGGGGGGGGGGGTGAAAAGGTGAAAGGTCAGAGGGTGGGGAGGGCTTCAGGGCTCTTTATCATTTACTGCAGTCCACTTCTGATGCTGGTATATACTTAACGTTATAATCAAACTCTTGTGCGCTCCGGATGGCCACGCCCCAACTGGGCCCTTTACTAGTGTAATATAATGATGATTGTGTCCCAAACACAAACATCTATTCCACAACACATATGTAATTAATAAAAACAAGTATCATATCCATCATCATCATCAGTTGAGTGATAACTCTATGTGGGTTTGCAGCTACTCCTTTCACTTTAAACATTCATTAAATATAATCATGTGATCGCTTAATATATAAAAAAATGGACTAGTGCAGCTTTATTTTCTTTCTTTCTATTCTACAGCCATGGGATTATTGCAGGAGGTATTGTAGTAGGTCTTGTTGTACTTTTTTGTTTTACTTTGAGAATGAATATCTAGGTGCCTGATCAATGCAGTCTCTGCTCATTATGTATGTATACTTTGAAATCTCCTTTATTTATCCTTGAAACAGAGTCACACACACTGATGTTGTGCATCATTAGCATACATGTCCCACAGTGCTCCAGGACCAACACTGTCTACGTTGTCTTGATTGGACCACAGGAAGTCTCCATCTGATTGGAGTCCACTGCACCTTTGAGAGAGCGGCATTGGGCAACAACATTCTTCCTCTGGCCTGTCTGTCTGTAAACCAGTGACTCACGCTGCCCTTAAAGAAGCTAATGTAGGAAACATGCAGGAAATAAAAACTCAAATCACAGAATGTGTGAAAAGCCTCCCACTTTTCCCCACCTTCATTCCCATCCTTTCTTCCTCTCTATCACGCCCCTCCCCCCCTCTCTAGAAGGTCAGCAGCATCTGTCTCCCTGGTGACCATCTCCGCCATCACGTGGCTTGGTTTCCGCGGCAACCGCAGGCTTGCCCAGTGTGAGTTTGATACTGACCTGTTCTCTCTCTCTCTCTCTCTCTCTCTCTGTGCGTCTCTATCTCTCTGTCTCTATTTCTCTCTGTCTCTGTCTGTCTCTCTCTGTCTCTCTCTCTCCCCATGCTGTCTGGTAGATATGCTAATGTGTGTGAGACGACATTCAGAGAGAGAGAGACTTTTTGTGTAGGATGTACTTGTTACAGTATTATTTACATTCCCCCGAATGTAGAGGACTGAGGCACACACACACTCTCTGACACAAACAAGGTCAGAGGGCGGGATTGTTAAACTGTTTCCTGTAGTCACGTTTCCTTCCTGCTGAGTAACTTTAAAGCTCTGTTAATGTGTGTGTGTGTGTACACACACACTCTCTACTCTGCCACAGAAACACCAACACAAGAGCACACAATGAAATCACAGGCAACAGGTGGAACAACAGTCATGTTGTCATAAGTCATACCGATACCGATATGTAAAATCAAGGGAGTGTCAGCTGTGACAGCTCAATCACTCCTTTAGAGGTCAATAGAGAGTTTACAGTCAACATCAGGGCTATCAGTGCCAGATCCATACATTCAGTTAGAAACATTGCTCTGAACTTTTGCTCGGTAATGGTTAACAGAAACGGTGTCACCCGTGCCAAAGGTAACACCTTTAAATCAACCTAAAAGGAATTCAATTTCCAATCAAATAAAACAGAGACAAGCAGCTGTTCACATGAAGGTTTTAACCTTTCACTGCAACAATAATACACTTTTAGTTTGGCGGTGTGGCTCCACTCACGTGATGCTCGAAAGCTAGTTAGCATAGAAAGGATCAAAAATCCCTCCAAAATACCACATTAAGACACAGAGGCCTTGGTTTTCAGTAATTGGATGGCAATTAAAAAAATGGTCTCACTAAAATGAAATGTCTACTTTGTCCCAAACATCATCACAGATGATAACAACTGGGCTCATTGGATCCACAGGAAGCTCAGCTTTCCAATCATAACCAATTCATGCAACTTCAACGCTGTTTAGGGACCCCAGTGTGCAGAAATATTGAAATAACACATTTAAACTGCACGGGATTATCATGAAGTGGGCGCGTCTGTAAAGGGGAGACTTGTGGGTATCCATAGAACCCATTTTCATTCACATATCCTGAGGTGAGAGGTCATGGGACCACTCCAAAAATGTAGCTGAATTTTGGATTGAACAATGGATTCATTAGGTCGTCAAGTTTCATGTGATAACACTATCTACAGCCTCTGAGAGACAGTGGCCGATTGATAATTAACTTTCAGTCGCTTGGTGAATCCATTAATCAATGCTGCACTTAAACAGTGAGGCCAGTGTTCAGACTGGGCTTCACGTGTTCTCCAAAGGCACTTTACAGCATAAATAGCAGACTATTTATTGATAGGAATATCACGGAGAGCATAAAGGGCATAAAGGACCAGTCATGATCAGTTATGCATCATCACAGGGTCGCTCAGGGTCAGTACATCCTCACCCAAATACAGGGCATAATAAATGTCAAACCTCCGCATAATCTGACCAATCACAAGCCACCTTCTAACCACACTGGATAAAAGCAGAGCCTCAGCGTCGTCCCGCAGACAGCAGGGTGAACCTCCAACACAAGGCCGTGCTGTCTCTTTGCTCCTGTTGTTCTTAGATTGTTGCCCTTAAAGGCAATATATGGTTGAACCGTATATGGTTCCGCTGTACGGATACTACAACAGTAGTGGAGCATATTCGTACACCTGCCAGTCGGACTCTACATGCAACAGCACATGTCGTCAGTGTTTTGTATTAACTCTCACTGCCAGAAAGGGTAGACAAAGGTCTGCACTCAGAGTTGAAATTTAAAAAAATATTACTTCATGTAAAGAGTGAAATAAACCAACCTGCCTTTCTATCAGTTAGATAGCTAATAGCTAGCAGTTAGCTGGTTAGCTATCGCCAGATTGGTGGCGCTTGATTTACTTTATCTTTTTTTTATATCGTATGGTTAAACCTTTGTCTTCCCCCGATTGGCAGTGAGAGTAATAACAAAAACACTGTGGAGGAGTGGCTTATCTCCATGGAAACTGTTGTCAACGAAGCCATTTATCTCATCAACCATGGAAGAAAATAACCTCTATATCTGCTTAGTACTTGTTGTGGAAGTCCCAGATATTCGGAGAAACTAAACGCCTTCATGTCTGGGTTATAACATCATCCGGAGGAGCTCCGTGGATTTTATCGAGATGTATTCACTGTGTCTAGCAAGCCACACGTCGGCTGTTTTTTTCACCGTGATTTAATTGCAATAAACGAACAGAAAGGGATGCCGAAATAACTACATAATGATTCAGATTTGTATAAAAAGTCTGAATTCATGTTTTGTTCGTTCTCTCTGCAAGACAACAAGCAAATCACTTTTAAAATACTTTGTTTTCTCAATGGAGCTCAGATCGATCGGTGCTATTCTATGCTGTACCATATGGTTTACACACACACATTTATACACATAGCTTGGTCCAGTCTCTACTAATATCAGGTATCATAGAGCTCTGGGTGAACACAGACGGCTACTATATTATTTTCCTCCATAGCGGCAGGACGTCAGTGATGACAGGAGAATCTCCACGCTGACAGGCTTTTGTGACAAACAATTTCTCGCGCGAGTTAAAACATTTTCAACACACGTGAATGGGGTAAATTTCTACGCTATTACTCACGTCCATTCACGCCTTTGCATTGACTCTGTGAGAGCCGCTGATCAGCGCTAAAGTCTCAAGTGTCAAGCTAACATATAATTTGTGTAATATCAACAGAAAAATAACTGCCGACTACTTTGTTAATCAATCAAGTCATTTCTCAGACAAAAAAGCCAAAGAGTCTTTTAGTTCCAATTCTCAAATGTGACAATTTGCTGCTTTACTTTGTCGTACTATGATAATAAACTCAACAACTTTGGGGTTTTGAACTTTAGCCTCGGGGCTGAAGGAAATTGTGCTGGGCATTTTTCATAGAGCAGGTGAAGAGAGGCCAAAACGCCTCCAAACATTCCTGTCACGACAGATCCCCAAAAACACTCCTTCTCTTCTTGTTTAAGGATTTCAGTCAGGATCTGGTGCATCCTTAAACTCCGCCAAAAACAAAGGATGACTGAATTAGCTATTCAGCTCACATCAACACACACACACACACACACACACACACACACACACACACACACACA